GCAACCTCCGCCGCTGCCACCGCCTCATGCCCGCAGCCGGCGCTATATGCCCGGGCAGGGGGCGGAGCGCGCTGCGCGCCCCCCCCCCCCCCCCCCCCCCCCCCGCGCCCCCGGGCGCCCGCCCCGCGGGCCTTGCGGCTTCCAGGTGGGAGAGGAGGAAGGTGGTGTTACTGCTGCGTTCATATCCCGCCTAGGGATCATGGCCATCAGTTTGCACACCCTGGCCTATGTTCAAGCGTGCGTCATCATGCTGGCTTCGCCGCTGATTTGCCAGTTGTACTGATCTCGCGCGTGGGGCTGCCCCCTCATTCCTCCCGGCAGAGCCGCGCTGGGCAGTGCCCACCAGCGCCCTCAGCAAATTCAGGGGCAGCCCGTGTGCCCTGCCTCACGCCCGCTTGTTTCCAATGTGAGACTGCCCTGGGTTTCCTGTCCACATCTGCCTTCGTCCCAAACACTCTGTTGTTGCAAGCTCATGCTCTCGCTTTTCAGGGGGGCCTGTAGCTGTTTGCTGCGGGTTCCCAAAGTACGAGTAGGCCTGTGTCACGTGGCGGCAGAGAGCGGGTGCTGCGAGGGAGAGTGACCAGTTTTTTTCCACTGTTCCTCTCTCACTTGCAGCCTCCAGCATTTAGGCTGCTTGGAGATGTTAAAAAAAAAGGGGGAAGGGAGTAGGGGGATACAGTACTTTACTTTAAACTTGGTGTGCTCTGGCGCCAAGCCCAGCACATGCCCAGAAGAGGCATTACATTAGTTGGGCCTGGCTCGCCCAACATCTGTATAGACTGGGCACTTTAAGGGTGCTTTTATCTAATAGCCGATTGAATCAGCTTTAGATAAAAGTGCCAAGAACACCTGCTGACGCACCCGATCTATTCAGATGCTGCAGAGCTGGGTCAAAGTAACGTGCTGCTTCTTTCAGTAAAGTGTGTTTCATAGATTTCATAGACATTAGTGCTGGAAGGGACCTCACAAGATCATCGAGTCCAGACCCCTGCCCCAGGGGCAGGAAGTCAGGTAGGGTCAAAGGATCCCAGCAAGATAAGCATCTAAACATTTCTTAAAAGTGTCCTGCATAGTTGCTTGCACCAGCTTTGGAGGGAGTCTATTCCAGACCTTGGGGGCTCAGACAGTAAATAAATTTTTCCTTATGTCCAGCCTAAAACGGTCTTGGAGGAGTTTGTGACTGTTTGACCTTGTCATCCTTTGGGGCGCTCTGGTGAAGAGGCATTCCCCCAGGTCCTGATGTACACCCTTTATATACTTATAGACAGCCACCGGGACCTTCCTGAGCCTGCTCTTTTCCAGGCTAAAGAGTCCGATAGCTTCAGCCTCTCTTCATAAGGCCTGTTCTCTTGCCCTCTGATCATGCGCATGGCTCTCTTCTGGACTCTCTTGAGCTTCTCGACATCCTTTTTGAATTGTGGAGCCCAGAACTGGATGCACTACTCCAGCTGCGGCCTCACCAAGGCCGAGTACGGTGGGAGGATAACATTCTGAGATTTGCTTGAGAAGCATCTATGGATGCAAGGCAGAGTTTTGTTCGATTTACCAGCTACAACATCACACTGGTGGCTCATGTTCATTTTGTGGTTGATCATGACCCCAAGTCCCTTTTGGCCATGGTGCTAGTGAGCGTAGCACTGCCGAACCTATAAGTGTGATGCGGGGGTTTTTTCCCCCAGAGGTAGAGTACCTTGTATTTTTCTGTATTGAATGTCATCAGGTTTTTATCCACCCACTTTCTAAGCCTATCAAGGTCAGCCTGGGTCACCAGCCTATCCTTGGGTGTGGACGCTCTACCCCAAAGTTTGGTGTCATTGGCGAACTTGACCAGTCCACTTTTGACACCAGCATTCACATCATTAATAAAGAGTTAAAGAGTACAGGTCCAAGGACCAGCCTCAGGGGACATCACTGGTCATGGAGCACCATTATCATTCACTTCCATCACCTGCCACTCTCTGGGTCCGGCCTCAGAGCCAATTCCCAGCCATCGGACTGTGATGTAGCTTAGGCTGCAGTTGCCCAATTTTTCCATTAAGAGATCATGGGACACCAGATCAAAGCCTTTTTTAAAAGCCTTTTTTTTAAAGTGTTTTGGTTTTGGCTTATTAAAAAATGTCTGCAGGCAGCCTTAAGGTCCAGGAAATTCTGATTCAGAGGCTGTCCCCCTAACTCCTGCGTCACACAGTGGTACAGAGTGGCTGTTGAAAGGGAGAAGGAACTGGAAATGGCCAGGTTTTTTTCCCTCCACTGTTCCTCTCTCACTTGCAGAGGAGGATGTGGAGTGCAGAGGAACATCAGACTAGCAGGGACTACCACCTTGGTCACAGAGTCCAGGCACTTGCAATCATAGTTAACTATCTAAAAGATGTCAAGTTGAAAACTAGAAGTGGACCTGAGACCTGCATTCTGAACTAGGACTTGAATCTTTTACAAATTCATTGGAGTTTGTCCCCAAAAATCAAGATCCCCAAATGAATTTCTGTTTAAAACATTTGGCTTAAAATACGAGGAGCTTTTTACATCCTCAAAAGCAGAATTGTGTGTGATTCAAAGATCACGTGCAGACTTCTTGGCAATTGGAGTTACATGCTGAATGTCCCAAATAGTAAAACAAAGAACTCAATCTGTTGCAATTTAGGGCAATCACCACATAATTCTCCAGTAACCTAATTTTTTTTCCAAATCAATGATTTGCCGGCTATATGTAAACCCCACTGAGCTGGATTGAGATAATTTTATGAATCAGAACCAAATATTGGCAAGATGTAGAGAGGCATCAAAGAATTGCATACCCTTAGATAATAATAAACAACAATATTCACTTACAAGTAGATCGAACAGAAATGTAAAGGAGCAGGCTATTAAGAATGCCCACATGAAGACAAACTGAAGTCAGTAGGGCTTTGTGGAGAAATCCAGCTACACAGATCTGGTGGGCCCTAATGTATCTCTTCTATCACTCCTGTTTGGTTATGTTTAGTGTTATTTAATAAATTCCTGTGTCACACAAACAACAGCTCTATGTCCATTGTTGCAGCTACATGCATAAAGAAGGCCTGAAAGTCAAACACAAGTTCTTGTTTCTGTTAATGAATAAGTCATTTCTGTTTAATTGCAAGTCTCCTTTAAAAGACTGAGCTATGTAAATGAGGAGCTTTCATAGTACAGTTACAGAAGCTATGGTGTTAAATAAAAACTTTTTTATTTAAAATATTTACTTGATTTGAAAACCCAAGTGTCACATTTGGGGGTGGGGGATTGAGGGGTGGAGAGGTATTCCTCTTACAAAAGCTGCTCATAACTCTCATTGTACTGCTGACCCAAGGTGCATTCACTTCTGCCACAACAAATATCAAAATGAAATGTCACTCACAGGAGGCAGTGCAAAATGGCATACTATATTTATTCTTTTGATAAGTTGAATAAGGAACAAGATTGCTGTTTTACCCTGACACTATTAAGCTTCAACATTAATATCCGAGATAAATGGGATGACCCTATGGGCAAAGTGGAAGAACAGCCGCTACAGATGGAAGGTGGCAGTGCTATACCTAGTGGGACTTCTGGCATTGCTCCAAAACAGGTCAATATTTTTAAATCTAAGAGATGTTTGTGACCTCAGCTTATCCTAACCTCCCCACCTGCACATATGTGTGCATGAGTACAAGTGTGTATGTATATGTCGACACGCACGCACACACACACACGCGCGCGCGCGCACACACACACGTGCGCGCGCACACACACACACGTGTGCACATGACTTGAAGCCACAGTCTTGCCTCCAAAGTTAAAATGATCAAGTCCTTGCTCAAATCAGGTTAAAGGATAACACTAAACAAAGAACTTAAGTGCTGGAAAGTAAAGTGAACTTTTAGTTTCCCTTCAGCTTTAAGAATCTATAATAGGGTTTAGGAGCATATTTACTGATACTTTTAAGTGCATGATTGATTTTTTTACATTACTTTTAATTAATTTGAGATTAATCTTCTAAGGGTCAAACTGTTAATGAAAAACAGGCTAGTTTAGAAGCAGTTCCAGGGAATGGATAGTTAATTAGTAAGTGATTTTATTCTTTTAAACTGGGAATATTTTGCTACTTCATGATAAAATTTAGCTTGAGTAAGTTAATTACTGCTCTTAAACACAAGTTATTGCTCAGTTATAAACTTTTGGATTTTGTATTGACTTAGAATTTCCGTAGGACTATGTTGTTCTTGGAAAAATGAACTGCTTGAAAATTATCTTAGCCCCTGCTACACATGACACTTATGACCTTCTCAGGAGTTAGATTATAAACTGTCCACAGTCATCGTGTGTCCAATGTAAACATCATGCTGTGATTATTGCAGGGCATAGCAGTAAGTCATACATTACTACTTTGAGGTCACATTCTTTCTATAAATGACAAAACTGCTGTGGCCTGAACCATGCACAGAAGAATTAGAAATCAAATCAGGTGTTCTTGAAACAGAATACTAAATTGTTTGCCTTGAGTTAATTTATGTGAGTAGGGCCATATTCCAATGAAAATACTGCCCCAATGTGGCTATCTAGTGTATCTGCATTCTACTATATGGGGTGTACTAATGCATATTAGCCCTTTAGACAGCAGTGAATAGCCAAAGCTGAATTTTAATCCAGTGGAGAGAAGAAATTGGTGATGCTGCCCAGTCTGTTTGATGCCATTCTTTCTACTTACAAGGAAGTATAGAGTCCCGCTGTCTTAACGAAGAGAGAATCAAACAACTCAAAACAGTTTCTCTGCTCACAGCACCAAATCTTTCAGTCAGAATCCCAA